AAAAGTTGAACTGGAGAAAAGATACTAGGTTTAAGGGCAGTAAGCCTGTTGATATTGTGCTCCTGAATTAAACAGATTTGCCTACCCAGTGATAAGTAGCACCTTTCCTGCAGTGCCGACTGCTCCTATAAAATTCATCACATGGAAGAAGGGAACAGGATGTGTGCTCTCTGCAAGTGCAGAGGAGAAAAGGTGCAATCTGAGCTACACTAGCCTAGCTCCTTCTACTAAACTCAACAATGAGATCATTCACGTCTTCTGTGGGGAAACAATAGTGAACGTCTCTCCACAAGAAAAACAAGAAGGTATGAAAGAAAAGGTTCTAAGGTGTCCCAAAGCAGCAACTGCAGAAAGCAGCTACCACCTCTTAATGAAGGGGAAATAAGTAATGACTTAAGAATTTAGAAGAGCTCCTGTCCCCCTTGCTAAGATTCACACCTCATTGTATGGGATGTGCTGCTCCAGGAACACACAACCTTCCCTTTCAGAAAGAAACTTCCCAGAGGGATAGGGTCAGAACTAGTTCATAAGAGAGCCCACTGGGTAGCTGAGAAGCTTCCTGGAGGGTGTGGGCTAACTTTTCTAAAAAATAGAAAAATCGATGAGAGAAAAATTAACTGCAATAGAGGGGAGCTGATCTGTAGAAGTGGTCCACTGGGTGGCAGAGAAATTTATCAGAGGGTGTGGGTCACCTGGAGCTTATCTGTGGAAGTGGCCTATCAGGTGGCAGGGAGAGGCCAGAGGGTACACGTAGGCTGGGGCTTGTCCAGGAAAGCTAGTGACGTTTTACTGGGCCTCCCACATGCTCATCTGCTGGGTAAGGTGCCAGGAAAAAAGCACAAGGATACCAAGAAGGAAAGCTCCTTTTCTCCTGCTATGGCCTTGCAGAGAACCATCAGCAATGTGTATTGACAAAGCCTAATATCAAGCCAGCTGGCAAAGGAGAAGTGTTTTACAGCATCCATTTTCAGTATCACAAAGCAGGGCAAATAAGGGTGGATTTGGAGCTGAGAGGCAATAAATTAATTACTGCACATTTATTTTCCCTCTATTTGTCTATTTCTATTTCATTGATTTCCATTCCTCTCTTGATTCTTTCTTCTACTTGCTATTAATTTTTTTATTTTTTAAGGTGGAAGCTTCTTTGATTCCCTTCTTTTCTAACAGCGTATTGAAAAATATTTTCCTCTAAGCACTACTGTAGCTAAATCCCCCAAATTTTGATATACTACGTTTCCATTATGATTCAGTTATAGTTGCTGTTCTCTTGCTATTCATTTTAATTTAATTCTACTGAAGTCAGAAAATATACTCTGTAAGATTTCAGTCTTCTGAAATTTATTGATACCTGTTTTGTGGCTGAGGGTATGGTCTATCTTGATGAATGTTTCATATGCATATGAAAGAATATTTATTCTGCAGTTCTTAGGTATAGTGTTCTACAAGCATTAGTTACATCAAAAATTGGTTGATAGTGTTACTCATATCATCTGTTTCTTAATTTTTGTATATCCTATCAATAACTGAGAGGTGTAAAAATCTCTCTGTGGATTTATCTATTTCTCCCTAGAGCTTTACCAGTTTGAGATTCATGTATTTTTTTTACTGTTAGTAGGTACATATACATTTATGATGGTTATATCTTCTTGAAGTGAGACTTTACTCTGTATCTCTAATAATTTTTTCTTGAATTCTATTTTCCTATGCTTACTGTTTGCAAAGTACATTATTTTTCAGTCTTTTTTATTTCAAAATACCTGTTTCTTCTTTTTGAAGTGTCTCCTCCAAACAGCATATAGTTGGATCTTGCTTATTTTTTATCCAGTCAACTTGTGCCATTTAAATGGATACCATTTACATTTAATCTAATTATTGATATAGTTGGGTTTAAATTTACCATCTTGGTAAGTTTTCTTTTTGCCTATCTCTTCTGTCCCCCACCTGCCTTCATTTGAATGAGTCAAATATTTTTAGTATTTCTTTTTAAACTCCTCCATTAACTCTTTAGAAATAGCCTGTTATTTTAGAGCACAATTTGCATTCTTATCACAGTCTACCTTCCAATCACATATTACTATTGAATAATATAAGAACTTATGTACACTTCTGTTTACCTTCCTCCTACCTGTGTGATCTTGTTATGGATTTTATTTATATTATGTTACAACCCCGTAATATTGGTATTATGCTCTACAATTCATCACTATTAGTTCTTTTTAACCTGTCAATAGTCTTTTAAAGAAAACAGGATATATAAATATACATAACTAAAATAATGAAAAAGGTGGCCTTTTATATTTCCCCATATATTTAGTGTTCTTCCTTCTTTGCCACAGATCCTTTCATCTAAGATTATTTCCTTTTACTTAGCAGAACTTCCTTTAGTATTTCTTATAGAATAGATCTACTGAATATACATTATCTCTGCTTTTATCTGCTTAAAAATGCCTTCATTTTACTTGTGTGTGTTTTTTCTTTGTTTTTAAAGAATAGTTTTGCTAAGTTAACATGGTTGTAGTTCTTTAAAGATGTCATTCCATTGTCTCTGGACTCTTACTGTTTCTGATAAGAACCACTAATAATTCTTTTTGTTTTTTGGTCCTCACCTGAGGGTATGTTTATTGATTTTGAGAGAGAGAGGAAGGGGGACAGAGAGAGAAACATTGATGCGAGAGAGAAACATCGATTGGATGCCCTGATGGGGGATTAAACTGGAAACCTAGGTATGTGACCTGACCAGGAATTGAACCCACAGCTTTTTTGGTATATGTTCCAACCAACTGAGCCACCCAGCCAGGGCTCACTTACCATTCTTATTGTGGTTCCCTAAGTATGTCTTTTCTCCTCCACCTGCTCATAAAAGTGTCTCTTTCAGTTAATTGACTATGATGTGGCAAGATGTGGTTTTCTTTATATTTATACTATTTGATATTAAGCTTTTTGGCATTGTGGGTCAATATATTTCATCAATTTTGAAAAATTCTCAATCATTCTATGTTCAAATATACATAGTAGTTCTGTCCCAACCTCTCCTCTTTTCTCTAAGTCTACAGTTAGACATATGTTAAGCCATTTACTATTTTCCACAAGTCTCAGACACTTTGTTACTTTTTTTTAAAAAAATCTTCTTTCTTTTTCTGTTTCAGTTGGGATGATTTCTATTGATTGTCTTCAAGGTCACTGATCCCCTGTGCTGCTCTGTCCAGTCTGGATAAGCTCACTGAAGGAATTAATTTCTGGGATTGTGATGTTTCAGTTCTGGCGTTTTCATTTGTGTGTTTTTTTAATACTTTCCATTTTTGTACTGAAATTACCATCTATTCACATGTATCTTTCACTTTTCAACTAGATCCTTTAATATCACTAGCATAATTATTGTAAAGTCCTTTATTATAATTCCTACATGTGCATCAACTGTGAGACTATTTCTATTGACTTTTTTTCCTTGATTGCAAGTCACATTTCCCTGCTTCGTGTGTCTTTTTTTTTTTTATTCTATACCAGAAAATGGTAAAAAGAATAAAGATAAAATAAATAATATTTGTCCCTAGAAAAGTACATACACAGTCTTTGCTTTCTCTGACTGCTAGAAGTTCAATTAATATAGTCTGTAACTGATCTGGGTCTGGGCTTTGCTGCTGCTTTGGTTAAATTCCATTCACCACTGGCTTTGAATATTTTGAGGACAGGATCCAGATTTTTCTTCAACAGGGTTTGGGATTTGAGTACTGCCAAGACGTCTTTCTCTGCTTTACGGCCCAGTCACTAGCTTTACAAACTGTAGGTCATCTTTCTTTACTTTGCTGTCTACCCATCAGCTTTATGGTTGCTTTGTTACCATAAAGTTCTCTTTGTTTTCCAGCCCTGTCCCATAATTTTCTGCACCACAGGAGACATCTTTCTACCCTACTGTCCTGTCCCCAGCTTCAGTGGACTACTATTGCACTAAGTGAATGCCCAGTGCACTTCAATGAGGGATCTCTTTCAGCTCTTTTCCCTGCCTTAGCCTTTGGCACACTGCCACTGACTGGTACTCTATGAAAGCACTGTAGGAAACAACTGTAAAGTGGGTGTAAACTTGCTCTGTAGCTAGGGCTTCTTGAGATTCTAATCTGCCATGTCAGCCTACATAGGACCACCAAAAACTCTGTAAAATTTCAGTAGAAAGCTAACTAAAGAAATTATAGCTATCTACACAATGTAATACTAGGAAGCCATTTAAAAGACTAGGGAAGTAATATGGAACAATCTCCAAAATAGACTGTTATGTAAATAGAGCACTGCACAGAATGGTGTGTGTTTTCATTTTAGTTTTTAAAAAGGGGGATGACAACATACACACACACATACAGATATATATGTATACATATAATCTGTACATACAGATATAAACATAAAAACATACATTTTTATCTACTCAAAAAATATTTCTAATGAATACACAAGAAATTGGTAGTTGCTACTTCTGGGAAGGGAATTAGCAGTTTAAGGCAGAAGAAAGATTTTTTTCATTATAAGCCACTTCTTTCACTGTCTGACTTTATCATGTGTAACTTTTTTACTAAATAAAGAAAAAATCCCACATTTTTATTAAAACTTGTATTTCCCACACTTTAAATTACCCAAAACAACTTATTTACCAAATATGTGTATTCTCTGACAAGAGATTACTATTTTATGCATAATTACCTTGAAAAGCCTAGGAAACACATCTGCTGGTTGCCCACGAATCACAAACAGACGAGAGTTTAATTTTCGCAGATTAGCATCAAGGTCTTCAAGACATTGAAGCAAAAATCTAGGGAAAGGATAATATTATTAAAATTATTAGAAACATATTTTGAAGATACAAAATACTGCAAAATCATGTTATTGAAATGTGAACTCTATCGTCTTATTACCTCTGATATATAAATTACTGTGTCTAGAAGCCATACATATAATTTTTTTAAATTATAGCACAAGTGTCTTAGTATTTTAATGAAGTTCCTAAATTAAATCACTAACTTTCATTAAATAATAGTGACTGTTAGAATAAAATAATTAAATGAATTGATCTCATTGTTTAAACTTGAGAAAATGAATTCAAGTTCATACAGAAAAACCAACCTGAAAAACCTACAGCATTTTCTACTGGAAAAAAAATGGAAACATCCTATTTAATCACTCTGACCAATGAATAACTGAAGAGTGTGAACATGTTATTGGGGGATATTGTAATTAAGAGAGAGATAACAATGCTCATTTTCAAGTTTCTAATCCAATCAAAGAAAAAGAAACTGATAATAGATGTTAAATTATGTGGCATTAACTCTCTGAGTATAGAGTATGCCAGATTAATTTTAAATAAAAGATTTATGAGGCAGGTGGGGCTATGGATTTTTTCAATGAAATAAGTACCAACAAGGCTTACACATGACAGATATGTGGAGAAATTCTGGGGCAATACCAGAAGACTGCTTACTGTGCATCTTTTATTATGAAGAAATGGAGTGGACAAATGTGAAAGAAAAGTGACTCCTGGAAGGTACGATGTTTGCTTCATGCTAATTTTCTGTAACATTTTATCTAGATTCTGTTTCCCTTAGCGGAAATATGATCTCTGTGGGCTTGGGGAGTCACAGTGCTGTATGCAGGAGGATATTAAAGGCATCCCATCATTGCACCTTAGGTGGTCTCACAGTTATTCTTAAACAAATAGGAAACAAACCTCTGTATCCTCACATTTATATTTCACCACATCCTTTTTCTGGCTTAGAGTTATCTCCCTAGCACCCCATCCTCACTCCACTCCACTCCACCCCACCACTACCAATGTGCAAATACTTTGGGGGAAAATGTTACTGTGTTATAGCAATATACAAGTACTTAAGTTTTGTAAAATTATCTGTAACTATAAATAACTTATGTTTGGTGATAAATGTTTATTTGGGAAACATCTAGTTTATGTATTTGCTTGGCAAAAGAGTTTTTAGACATCAGCAATCAGATCAAAAACAGTTGAATAAACTAGCAATTCTAAATTTTCTTAAATTTAAACAGTACAAGACTAAACTGTCCTGGGAGGATAATTCAAGGCAGAGATAATTCTCAAACCTCTTTTGTACCATTAGTTTCAGTATCTTCTCTACCAGAGCTGGTAGTATATAGCAAGAGTTCTCCTTAGTCACCGTTTTAGTGGAAATATTTCTATGTGGTACAAGCAAGTCAATGATAGACTGTAAGATGGGGGAAAAAGAGAGAAAGGACCTGATTAATTTATATCATGAGTAAGTCTTGATTAATTAATAATTAGTCCTTTATTTTTCCCTTTCTTGTTCACAGGCTGAATAATCACTCTTAATGCTTTTCAATAAACACCCTATGAAACAAACACTGCACAAAATGATATGGACTGAGGCAATCAATGTGTTGCAAGAGAAAAAGTTTTGCAACCAAAGAATTAATTTTATTTAGGCACTCCATAAAGCAAAGGAATAGAAATGTATTTAAGTATGGTGTTTTTCTTCACAGATGTTATTTTTTAAATTTTTATTTTCAATTACAGTTGACATTCAATATTGTTTTATATTAGTTTGGGGCATACAGCACAGTGGTTAGACAATTATGTAATTTATGAAGTGATCCCCTGATAATTCAAGTACCCACATGGTATCATACATAGTGATTACAATATTATTGACAATACTCCCTATGTTGTACTTTACATCCCTCCACAGATGTTACTGATGGAGTTTTTCTTTCATGGATATTATCGTTTACATCACTAATTTCACATAAATATTGCAGAGGTACGGTGCACTCAAATATAGGTGCTTTTAGAAAGAATATAATGCTTACTTTGCACTCAGATATCTTAAATAGAAAAGACTTGTGAAGAAAAGAAAAAGAGCAGGATGGAGAACACTCAGTGATGCTGTCCTCTACTATAAGGCTTTTTACACTAAGACTTTTAAAACTGTGTGCATATATCATTTTGATAAAATAAAATTTACACTGCAAGTATCTGCTTAATGTTATATGTGCATAAGAAAATAACTGAAAGTATACTTATACCAAGCTATTAACAACAGCTACCCTTGGGGGATGGGAGTTTGGGGTGGGGTTGAAGAAGAAACACATTTTTTTTTAAACTTCATAAAAAGGTATAAAATTGATAGTTAGCATATACCCCTTCAAAATAGAACAAAACTGAGAAATACTGTATCTTCTGTAAACCTGGTTTAATACATAGTGAACATCTTTTTAAAGCAATAGAATTTTCATGGTTTCACTGTATTCCCATTGCACAGATTTCCCATAATTTAACAGGTCTAGCAACCAATTACTATCCTTTAATCAATCTTGAAAAGTTCTAATTTCCTCATCTGTAAAACTGGGATAGTAACAGGACTCATATCATACATAGCATGGTTGTGAGAATTAAATAAATTAATATATGTGAAGTTCTTAGAACAGTGCCTGGCCCATAGAAACCATGATTATATGCATTTTTTGTCCCCTCCTTCCTACCACGTCTAATTTTGCTATAATTATTGCTACAATAATTCTAGACCTTATTATCTCTTGCTGGTATTATTTACGGCAATGCCTTAAAATAGATCTGCCTACCGACAATGTCTTTCCACTCTAATCCATTTTATACACAATATTCCTTAGGCACACTTCCTGTTCAAAGATCTTCAAAGACTCATTCCTATAGAATAAAGAACAAATTATTTTCCTTGGCCACTAACTTAGGGTTTCAGGTTCATTTCCTGCCATTCCCCTTTCCCTCCCACCAAAACCAACTACATCTCTTTCCCCAGACATTCAATCTCTTGGAATTTGCTCCATGTTATTCCCTTGGCCTGGAATACATTTCCCAGTTCCCATCTCTTCAAGTTCATATCCTACTAATCTTCAGTCTTTAAGCTGTAAGTAACTTCTCCATCCTCTAAACAGTCAAAGGACATAATGTTCCTCATCCTAAAGAAACTTTCAGGTTGTACCTTATATTATAGCTAATACACACCCACCACCACCACCACCTCCTCCAGGTCAATTTCAAATAAAGTATCTGTGTCTCATTCCTAACTATATAGTTTCCTAACCTATGTTTTGGTTTCTACATTTGGCAAACAAATCTCATCATGTGCCTAATACAATTTGTTGAAAAGATTAGAAATAGGATAAAATGACCTATAGAGTTGTCTTGTACACTGTTGAAAGGATTATAGACAGCGTAAAATCACCAGTACTTGGTACTCATTAAGCAGAAGTTATAATTATTTTCCCGTGTTAATAATTTACATAGATATATTTTAAAGAAAGGAAGGCGGGAGAGAGAGAGAGACATCTGTGGGCAGTCTCCCATACACAGTCCTACCAGGGATCAAACCAACTACCTTTTGGTGCATGGGATGATGCTCCAACCAACTGGGACTAATGGGCTAGGGCCATAATTTGTATTTTTTTAAAAAGTAACATGTATTTCTATATGCAAATACCTGGGCATGACAAAAGAAGACAATGAATTAGTCTACATACACCTATATACAGAATCATCTTGAACTTATAACTTCCCCTGAATGTGACTTTGGACAAAGGTTCGAGAAAAATCTTCCCAGTGACAAGGAAATGTGAATATGAATATATATGGCAAGATTCAGTCAATTAAGACCCTGAATCAACTAATCTTTAATCTCATAAAATTCCTCCTTGATAATACCATAAAATAAAATCTCCAATATCTCAGGTTCAAAGTATCAACTCATTGACAGATAAGATTTCTTTTTAATGCTGAACAAATAATGTTACTTGAAAGGCTGCTACGTAAAGTCTAACCTTTCATCCTTTATCCTTAGCTGGGAAGCGAGTGAGTTTTGTCAGAGTTCAGATTCAATGTGTTCCAGAGAACACAGCAATTCATATATTACAAATGCAAGTGCCTTAGAACAGGCATCCAATACTGAATGCAATGATTTAATATACTGAATACTGAAAATACAAAGGGCACACTTTTAACAGTAATATACTTTCAGACCTCCAATTTGGCATATTTACTGTTCCCTTGAAACTATAATCCTTTGAAGGTTTAGTTAATAATGCTATTAACTACATGCAACAGGTTAGTTTTTAAACAGGCCTAAGGGCAGTAAAACTCACTATATCCCTTTGCATAACTGTATTGCCTAAACAGAAGCACAGTTTTCATGTTATTTAATTATAACACTAACTGTAGTACTTCAAAATAAATTGCAGAGGTGCTAGGTGAGAAAATATATTTCTTCCCTTTAAATACTTTAAGGATTGCTTATAACCTCCAGAGATCACTAGCTTACTGCTATTAGAAAAAAATAAATGCAGTGAGTTTCCTTATACCATTACCAAAAGATGACTTCAACATGAATCAGCAGAAATTGTTTCTTAAAGTAGGTCACTGCTATGGCAACCAGTGGGCGGTTTGGTATACACCCTGTCACAATGACCTACTTTCCAGCCTGTGCTAGAACAGCTTTATATAACTAGAATTTCTAGTTCTGTCTATAAAATAGTCTTTAAAAAAGGCAATGGTAGGATACAACATAACCCCTCTGCTGCTGAAAGTAAGTCATTATAAATTAACATGTATCATACCAGAATAAAGTCATTGGCTTCTGCACTTTAGTTTATAAAATATATATTATATGCTCAACAATGAAAACTACACTTTAAATATCTAAACCAAAACAATTCACTGTTGACTCTAGAGAACTGATTTAAAGAATATAAATTAAGGTCATTCAAACTCCATGTAAAATATCCTCTCTTATCCTC